TCTCTTCACTGTGTGACCTCGAATAAGTCCTTACCTCTCTCTTCAGGCCTCTGTTATGAGGAGTAAGCGAGTTAATGTTCGTGAAGTGCTTAACAGTGTCCAGCACACAGAAAGCACTATGTTATTGTTGTTAGGTACTGTGGAGTTGGTTCCAACTCCTAGTGACCCAATGTACACAGAACAAAACACTGCCCACTCCTGCACATCCTCACAATTGCTACGTTTGAGCCCATTGTTGCTGCTACTGTGTTGATCCATCTCATTGAGGGACTTCTCCTTTTCCAATGACCTTCCACTTTACCAAGAATGATATTTTTCTCCAGGGACTGGTCTGTCATGATGACGTGTCCACAGTGTGCGAGATGAAGTCTTGGCTATACTTCCAAGATGGAGTTGTTTGTTCTTCTGGAAGTTCATGGTATATTCAATATTCTTCATCGACACCATACTTCAAATTCATGAACTCTTCTCTGGTCTTCTTTATTCATTGTCCAGCTTTCATATGCAGGAAGCACCATAGAGATGGTTTTTCGTGGGGGAAAATGTATATATATATATTGACTTGATTATAGAAATAGTTTTCTATTGGCTCTAGTCCCCCTACAGTCTGCTCTGAGTACAGCAGCCTATTGGTTGTTTTTGTTGTTGTTTTTTTAAATCAATGCTGAGTTCAGATCTCCTCCCCTTCTCCAAACTAGGCTAGCCACACTGGTCTTCTTGCTGCTCCTTGAACAGACCAGGTATGTCTTCCTTTGAGGCCTTTGCCCTTGCCGTTCTGTGTGCTTTGGATATCCGGATATCCACATGACTTGCTTCCTTCCTCCCTTAGGTTTCCTGGTAAAATGACACTCTCTCATTTACGCTCATGAGGAATCTGTACATGGACCAAGAGTTGTTTGAACAGAACATGCGAACACTGGTTTAAAATTAAAAAAGGTGTATGACAGGGTTGTATTCTTACACCATACTTATTCAACCTGTATGCTGAGCAAATAATCCGAGAAGCTGAGTTCTATGAAGAAAAACGTGGTATCAATTGGAGGGAGACTCATTAACAATCTGCAATATGCAGATGATACAACCTTGCTTGCTGAAAGTGAAGAGGACTTCAAACATTTTCTGATGAAGATCAAAGAGTACAGTCTTCGGTATGGATTACATCTCAATGTCAAGAAAACAAAAATCCTCACCACTGAACCAATAAACCACATTCTTATCAATGGAGAAAAGATTGAAGTTGTCAAGGATTTCATTCTTCTTGGACCAACTATCAACACTCGTGGAAGCAGCAGTTCAGAAATCATGCAACATATTGCAAATCTGCTGCACAAGACCTTTTTAAAGTATTGAAGAGCAGAGATGTCAGCTTGAGGACTAAGGTGCGCCTGACCCAAGCCATGGTATTTCCAATAACCTCATATGCATGTGAAAGCTGGACAGTAAATAAGGAAGACCAATGGAAGAATTGATGCTTTTGAGTTTTGGTGTTGGAGAAGAATATTGAAAGTGCCATGGGCTGCCAAAAGAACCAACAGATCTGTGTTGGAATTGGTGCAGCCAGAGTGCTCCTTGGAGGCCAGGATAGCCAAACTTTGTCTCTCATGCTTTGGACATATTGTCAGGAGGGACCAGTCGCTAGAGAAGGATATCATGCTTGGTAAGGTGAAGGGTCAGAGAAAAAGACGAAGACCCCTAACGAGATGGATTGGCCAAGTAGCAGCATCGATGGACTCAAACGTGACAATAGTGAGGTTGGCCCAGGATCAGGCAGTGTTTCGTTCTGCTGTGGTCGCTGAGTCGGTCTGACTCTATGGCACCTAACAACAACAACATTTATACTTCCCTGGTCTGACCTCTAAAACACAGTGCCACTTTACTAACCTGCCTTTCAATTCTCTTACTCTTTTTCTACACACCACTGTTGTTATGAAGTGCCTGTTGAGTTGGTTCTAACTCATAGTGGAGTGATTGGTGAGCTTCAACCACCAACCTTGTGATTCAAACTGACTTTGCAATCTAGTGCGTTAATCTGCAGTGCCACACCAGGACTCACTAACATGCTATATTTGTTAGCCGATTGTCTCATTCCCCTGCAATTTTAAAAACTCCATGACAACATGTAATTTTTTTTACTGCTACATCTCCACACTGGCCAATAGTTGTTGTTGTTGTCAGGTGCCATCGAGTCGGAACCGACTCATAGCGACCCCATGCACAGCAGAACGAAACAATGTCCGATCCTGGGCCAACCTC